TGTAATATTGTGCGTGGCCTGATGTCCATCTATTTCGTGTGTGTGTTATTAGATGTGTATCCAGTGTGTGTTCACAGTGTGTTATGTAAGGCTGTGTGGCTAGTGGTTAATAAGGTATGTGTGGTGTGAGATGGGTTTTGTCTTTTTTGTGTATGTATGGGGTAGAAAGTCTACCTAATTTTTCTGCCTGAATGGAAAAAATGGGCATCTCGTTCTTTGGTGTAAGATGCGTGTGTTAGGTCAGAAACCGTGAAGGGTCTGAGACTGCTCTCTCTGCAGCCGACAAGGTGACCCAGCACAGTCTCCCACGTGTGCATCTGCGGGATCGCGACCCCTGGGTCAGAGGCAAAGAGTGTTGGTTCCCTGCAGCCACGGCGATGCCCCCGAGCAGCTCCTCCACTTCATCTCCACGGGCATGCATGTGGCACCCGCACCCGCAGAGGGGTGTGTTTCAGAAGAACCCTGAAATTAGGAAACTCTGATCTTATACAGGACTGCTGGGTACCTCCCCATCCTGCCTTCCAGAGAGAGAAACCTTCTCCTTACTCTGAAATGTAAGCAAATCTTCTCCCAGTGGGGACATTCCTGTCTGCCCTGGAATGTCTCTGAGACAAACCTTCTTGACTTGGCTGTAAACGACCTTGCTCTGAGAGCCTGGACCTCGCAGAAACAGAGGCGTGAGATGTTCACGGAGAACTGCTTCCCAACAGCATCTATTGTTTAAAAATACTTCAAGATGGGTGTCAAATTTTCTATGTGTGGATATGGCGCGATAAATCTTTTAGCATGGTGTTCTGAGCTGGAAAAGTATGGTGTGTGTGTGTGTGTGTGTGTGTGTGACATGACTGACTAATTTATTTGTTTAAAATGTGAGGTGAGTGTCTAGCTTTTTTCTCTATATGGCTGAAATTAGTATCTCATTTTTCTGTCTACTGTGTGGCATGATATTTTGTGTATGGTATGAGATAGTTACCAAATTTTCTGGTGTACATTGGAAATAGGTATCTGTTTGTGTGTGTGCTGTAAGTTGAATATCTAATATTTTGTATATGATATGAAATTGATATCTCATTTTTTGTATGTATGGTGAGAGAGGGTATCTAATTTTTCATATATGTGTTTTTGAGATGGATATCTGTTTTGTGTATTGCGTGAGATGGTCATTTATGTATATCTTTGTGTGTATTTATGGTGTGAGTTATCTAATTTTATTTTTACCATGGAGATAAACATGTAGCACTTTCATTTTCATCAGTTCTAAATATTTTGTACTTTCCTTTGTAATTCTCTCCTTTAAATAACAGCTTTATTGAGATACAATCCTCATGTCACATAATTCACCCATTTAATGTGTAAATTAAATCGATTTGAGTATATTTGCATATATATGCAGCTATCACTATGATCAATTCTAGAGCATTTTCTCACCCCCGAAAGGAGCCCTGTCCTCATTAGCAGGCTCTCCCCAGTCCCCCCAGCATTCCAGCCCCTGGCAGTCACTAATCTGCCTTCTGTCTCTTCAACTGGCCGATTCTAGATAATTCATTTAAGTAGAATCATAATATGTGGTCTTTTGTGACTGTCTTCTTTCACTGAGTGTAACGTTTTCAAGGTTCATCCATGTTTATGCATGTGTTAGTACTTCCTTTCTTTTTATTGCCAAATAATATTTCATTGTATGGATGGACCACATTTTGTTTATCCATTCATCAGTTGATGGACGTTGGGTTATTTCCATCTTGAGGCTGTTATCAATAATGCTGCTATGGACAGCTATATGCCAGTTTGGGGCAGACATTTGCTTTCGTTTCTCTTGGGTCTATAGGTGTGGAACTGCTGGGTTATATGCTAACTTCACATTTAATTTTTTCTGAGGAACTGCCAGACCCTTCCAAAGCAGCTGCACCATTTTACACTCCCACCAACAATGCCTGAGGGGTCCAATTTATCTCTGTCCTTGGCAACATTTGTGTTTGCCTGTCTTTTTGATTCTAGCCATCCTAGTGGGTGTGAAGTGGTATCTTGTGGTTTTGATTTGCGCTTCCCTGATGGCTAATGATGTTGAGCATCTTTTCATGTGCTTATTGGCCATTTGTGCATCTTCTTTAGAGAAATATCTATTCAGATAATTTGTTCATTTTTAAAATTTATTTATTTATTTTATTTATTTTTGGCTGTGTTAGGTCTTCGTTGCTGCGTGTGGGCTTTCTCTAGTTGCGGCGAGTGGGGGCTACTCTTCCTTACGATGCACGGGCTTCTCATTGAGGTGGCTTCTCTTGTTGTGGAGCATGGGCTCTAGGCGCACGGGCTTCAGTAGTTGTGGCACATGGGCTCAGTAGCTGTGGCGCGCGGGCTCTAGAGTGCAGGCTCAGTAGTTGTGGCACACGGGCTTAGTTGTTCTGCGGAATGTGGGATCTTCCCGGACCAGGGCTCGAACCCGTGTCCCCTGCATTGGCAGGCGGATTCTTAACCACTGCGCCACCAGGGAAGTCCCAATTTGTTCATTTTTTGAGTGTTTGTCTTTCTTTTGTTGAGTTATAAGGGTTTATGTGTTGTTTGTATTCTTACATATTTTATGTGTTCTAGGTATGAAGCTCTTATCAGATATATGATTTGCAAAAGCTTCCTCCCATTCCTCGAGCTGTCTCTTCACTTTCTTGATGGCGTCCTTTGAATACGTATGTTTTTTGTTTTGATGATATTCAATTTATCCATTTTTCCTTTTGTTGCTTGTACCTATGGTATCACGCCTAAGAAACAACGCCTAATCCAAGATTTATACCTATGTTTTCTTCTAAGAGTTTAAAAGTTTGAGCCCTTACGTTTAGGCCTTTGGTGCATTTGAGTTAATTTTTGTGTACGGTGTATGGTAGGAGTCCAATTTCATTCTTTTGCGTGTGAATATTCAGTTTTCCATTTCTTGAAAAGACTATGCTTTCTCCACTGACTTGGCTTGGCATCGTTCTTGAAAATCAGTTGATCATAAATGTGAGGGCTTGGGCTTCCCTGGTGGCGCAGTGGTTGAGAGTCCGCCTGCTGATGCAGGGGACACAGGTTCGTGCCCTGGTCCGGGAAGATCCCACACGCCGCGGAGCGGCTGGGCCCGTGAGCCGTGGCCGCTGAGCCTGCGCGTCCGGAGCCTGTGCTCCGCAAGGGGAGAGGCCAAAACGGTGAGCGCCCTGTGCCAAAAAAAAAAAAAAAAAATTAAAAAAAAAATGTGAGGGCTTATTTCTGGACTCTCAACTCTAATCCATTGATCTGTATGTCTGTCCTTATGCCAGTACCACACTGTCTTGTTCACTGTCACTTTATAGTAAATTTTGAAATCAGGAAATGGGAGTTCTCCAACTTTGTTCTTTTCTTTTCTAATATATATATATATATATATATACGTATATGTATATGTATATATATATTGGCTGCGTTGGGTCTTTGTTGTTTTCTCTAGTTGTGGCGGGCGGGGGCTACTCTTCGTTGCGGTGCGCGGGCTTCTCATTGCTGTGGCTTCTCTTGTTGCGGAGCACGGGCTCTAGGCGCACGGGCTTCAGTCTCGCAGCACGCGCACTCAGTAGTTGTGGCGCACAGGCTTAGCTGCTCCGCGGCATGTGGGATCTTCTCGGACCAGGGCTCGAACCCGTGTCCCCTGCATAAGCAGGTGGATTCTTAACTGCTGAGCCACCAGCGGTTAAGAAGAACCAGAAGCCACCAGAACAAAGAAGCCCCTGTTCTTCTTTTCCTAGATGGTTCTGGCTCTTCTGAGCCCCATGAATTTCCATACACATCATCAGTTTCTGCAAAGAAGCCAGCTGGGTTTTGACATGGATTGTAGGTCAGATGCGTGAACATTGATACCTTATTATTTTGGGGTGGCTGCATCGGGTCTTAGTTGTGTCACGCGGGATCTTCATTAGGGCATGCAGGATCTTTCGTTGTGACGCAAGGGCTTGTCTCTAGTTGTGGCTCACAGGCTCCAGAGCACACAGGCTCAGTAGTTGCAGTGCACAGGCTCTCTAGTTGTGGCGCGGGCTCTAGAGCGCACAGGCATAGTTGTCCCATGACATGTGGGATCTTAGTTCCCCTACCAGGGATTGAACCCTCATCCCCTGCATTGGGAGGAGGATTCTTAACCACTGGACCACCAGGGGAGTCCTGGAAAATTGATATTTTAACAATATTGTCTCCAATCCATGAACATGGATGTGTTTCCATTCATTTAGGTCTTCTTTAATTTTCTTCAAAAATGTTTCATAGTTTTCAGAATATAAGTATTGTACTCTTTCATTACATTTATTAGTAATTTGTTTTTTAATTAATAACGCTGTACTTTTTAGAGCAGTTTTAGGTTTACAGAAAAATTCGTCACAAAATACAGAGAGTTCCCACATGTCCCCTCTCCCCCAGCCCCCGTATACCACCTCGCCTATTAACATCAGTATATTTGTTGTAATTGTGAACCAGTATCAATACACTGTTACTAACTAAAGTCTGTGGTTAACATTGGGATCACCCTTGGTGTTGTACATTCTATGGGTCTGAGAAATGTATGATGACATGTATCACCATTATAGTGTGACACAGAGCAGTTTCCCTGCCCTAAAGATCCTCTGTGCTCCACCTGCCCATCCCTTCCCGCCCAGACCCCTAGCAACCACTCATCCTTCCTTTAGCTCCATAGTTTTGCCTTTTCCAGAATGTCATGTAGTTGGAATCATACAGTGTGCAGCCTTTCCCACTGGCTTCTTTCACTTAGAAATATGCACTTAAAGTTCCTCCGTGTCTTTTCATGGCTTGATAGCTCATTTATTTTTAGGGCTGAATAGTATTCCATTGTCTGGATAGACCACAGTTTGTCCATTCACCTACTGAGGGACATTTTGGTTGCTTCCAAGTTTTGACAATTATGAGTAAAACTGCTATAAACATTCATGTGTGACTTTCTGTGTGGACATACATTTTCAGCTCCTTTGGGTAAATACCAAGGAGCACAGCTGTTGGATCTAATGGTAACAGAACGTTTAGTTTTCTAGGAAATTGCCGCACTGTCTTCCAATGTGGCTGCACCATTTTGCATTCCCGCCAGAAATGACGAGAGTTCCTGTCGCTCCACATTTGGTGTTGTCAGTGTTCTGGATTTGGGCCATTCCATTAGGTATGTCGCGGTATCAAAATGTTGCTTTGATTTGCATTTCCCTGATTACATATGATGTGGACCATCTTTTCGTGTGTTTGTTTGCCATCTGTAAATCATCTTTGGTGAGGTCTTTTGCCCATTTTAAACTTCGGTTATTTTCTTACTGTTGAGATTTAATAGTTCTTTGCATGTTTTGCGTAACAGAAGTGTTTTGCAAATTTCCCCCCAGTCTGTGGCTTTTCGTTTCATTCTCTTAACAGTGTCTTTCACAGAGCAAAAGTTTTTAATTTTAACGAAGTCCAATTTATCCACTTTTTTCCTTCATGGCTTACACTTTCAGTGTTGTATCTAAGAAGTCACCACCGAACCCACAGTCACTTGTATTTTCTTCTATGTTATCTTATATGGGTTTTACAGTTTTGTGTCTTACACTTAGGTGTATAATTTTTGTGAAAGTTGTAAAATCTGTGTCTTTACATGTGTTACATGTTTTGGCATGTGGGTGTCTACTTGATCCAGTAACATTTGTTGAAAAGACTGTCTTTTCTCCATAGAATTGCCTTTGTTCCTTTGTTGAAGATCAGTTGACCAAATCTGTGTGATTCTATTTCTAGGCTCTCTATTCTCTCCCATTGATCGATTTATCTGTTTTCACCAGTACCGTACTAACTTGATCACTGTAACTTTATGGTGAGTCTGGAAGTGGGGTAACCTCAGTCCTCCAAATTTTTCTTCTCCTTCAATAGTAGGTTGGCTGTTCTGGACCTTTTGTCTCTCCATATAAACTTTTTTTTTTTAAGATGATTTTTTTTTAATTCATTTTTTGCGACGTAGGGTCTTTGTTGCCGTGTGCGGGCTTTCTCTAGTTGCGGCGAGCAGGGGCTACTCTTCGTTGCAGTGTGCGGGCTTCTCATTGTGGTGGCTTCTCTTGTTGCAGAGCACAGGCTCTAGGCGTGTAGGCTCAGTAGTTGTGGTGCATGGGCTCAGTAGTTGTGGCTCGCGGGATCTAGAGTGCAGGCCCAGTAGTTGTGGCGCACGGGCTTAGTTGCTCCGTGGTACGTGGGATCTTCCCGGACCAGGACTCGAACCTGTGTCCCCTGCATTGGCAGGCAGATTCTTAATCACTGCGCCACCAGGGAAGTCCTCTCCATATAAACTTTAGATTCAGTTTGTCCATATCCACAAAATAATTAGCTGGGATTTTGATTGAGATTGCATTGAATCGATAGATCCAGCTGGGAGGAACTGAAATCTTGACAGTATTGAGTCACCCTATCCATGTACATGGAATATCTCTCCATTTGTTGGGATTCTTGATTTCTTTCGTCAGAGACTTGTAGTTTTCCACATTAGTTTCTGTACGTAATTCACAAGTTAGTTTGAAATGTATTTCTAATTTTCCAAACAAGAATTTTTAGAAAACTGTCTTATTGTTTAATTCCATATTACTTGCAGAGATGTCAGAAAGTGTCATTTGTATGAAATAATTTTTTTTCAAATTGTCTGAGACTTTCTTTGTGATTGAATACCTGGTCAGAATCAGGCTTCAGCTATTGCCAACGTGGTGTCTTCTGACGGTCTAGGTGCTGTTCTCCCATCAGCGTGTGCCTTCTCTGGCCAGAGGAGGCTGGTGGGTGGCTGACCTCCCCTGTCCTTCCCCAGCTTCAGGGGTTTCAGCATGCTCTTATCTTTACGTTAGTGTCTGGATCTGCGGTTAGTCTTTAAATCTGAAACTTCAGCTACTCTCTAATCAACTGTTGCCTCTGTGTCCTCCCACCTTTCTTCTGTTAAATCTGTCTGCCGGGCCAGCCCTTGACCACCCTTCAGTGTTCACCCGCCTTCCTGCTCCGCTGCCCCAGCCTCAGCCTCTGGCCGTCATCTGCACGTGGACGTGGCCTCGGGACCAGGCTCCACAGGTGCAGGGTCTACAGCTCTGAAGAAACTGACAAAGGCACCCCCGCCTCCCAGGGGAGCCTGATTTCCAGAGAGGAGAGTGAAGAAGACAGAGTCTGTACTGCGCCCAAAGGGGGTGAGCACTTCAGAAAAAGAGCAGAGAGGGCCAGCAGTGAATGTGCTTGCAACTTTTAAAGTTTTTATTATGGAAAAATGGAAACAAACACAAAGGGAGAGAGATCGTATAATAAACACACGTGAATATATCACTCAGCTCCAGTTACGGTCAGCTTGTGGCCAATCTTGTCTTCTCCGGATTCCTCCCCACCTCTACTCCTCCAAATTATTCTGAGAAATTACTCAGACACCATACCATTTCCATCCCTAGATATTTTAGCATCTGTCTCTGAAAGATAAGGATAAGATAAAGATAACCATAATCCCATGATTCCATCTGGAAAACTGACCATCAAGTATCACTGCAGCGTCCAGTCGCTCCAACTGATGCCTGTGTGTTTAGTTTAATTTAGTTCAGTTTGTTTGATTCAGGACACAAACCAGTCATTGGTCTACGCTCACCTCCTTCTCCATCTCTAGTTTCCCTCGCTGTATCTTTTCAGTCCCTCGCAAGTTGTTCTTGGAAGAAGCGGAGCCTCTCGCGCAGCAGCTTCCGAGCTTCCCGAGCTGCCTCCCTCCTGCCGGGGTGCCTGGGTCAGGAGCTGCTCTCAGATAAAGACCTGGGTCAGGAGCTGCTCTCAGGAGATGATTTTAGGAAGCAGGAAAGAGTGAGAAGTGAGACACAGGCAGGGAGGAAACACCAGACACAGAGGCACATCAACAGGGCAGGTTGCAGGAAGGGGACTTGATTCCTCCCGGTGCTGGAGGGGTGCAAAACGTGGCTCCAGAGGTGCACCCCCGCTGCCAGCCCACTGTCGGGGGCTGACCCAGGCAGCGCCTCTTCCTCGCCTGTGTGGTCACGGGGGCTTCTCCCCCACACTTGCTGGAGAAGACCTGCGACAGAGACTGAACCGACTGTGCTGGCCACTTGAGGGCGCTCACGGGGAATGGTGTGGGGTGAAGCACAGAGGATTGGCTGTACTTGGATTCAGGTTTGGTTTTTTGGTGCGGCCTTTGACCAGAAGGCATGCATGTCTGACCATCTCCCTTTTGGGTTGGCATTACCATTAGGGCTGTGAAATGGCAGTATTTTTAAATTTTTATTTATTTTATTTTTGGCTGCATTGGGTCTTTGTTGCTGCGTGCGGGCTCTCTCTAGTTGCGGCGAGCGGGGGCTACTCTTCCTTGCTGTGTGCGGGTTTCTCATTGCGGTGGCTTCTCTTGTTGCGGAGCATGGGCTCTAGGCGCACGGGCTTCAGTAGTTGCAGCACACGGGCTCACTAGTTGTGGCGCATGGGCTTAGTTGCTCCGTGGCATGTGGGATCTTCCTGGACCAGGGCTCGAACCATGTCCCCTGCATTGGCAGGTGGATTTCTTAACCACTGCACCACCAGGGAAGCCCATTAACTCTATATTTCTTCTTCATGTATTAGCTGGAATATTCACAAAGAAAACAGATCCCTCATCACTTCTTTGGTTACCCTGCGATGCGGTCTGTATCCCCCGGCCAGGTGGATGATGGGTTTTCTCCCATCATCTACCAGGTTTGAAAATGACAAGGCGGTTCCTCAGAGCCCTATAGCAACACCATGTTGGGATTTTAAGTAGCATATGTATTTGTGGTTTAAACATATTTGGTATATTTTAACCTGCTGCCGCTCTTATTCTCTTTGATGCTTAGTGGCCCGCATTTGGCTCCTGGCTCCTGGCCACGGCAGCCTGTGCGGCACCTTTGCTTCCTGTGGCCTTGTTCGTGTCTTGACCCACGTCCAGGCGTGCCCAGCCATCTTCCCGGCCTTTGAACACGTGGGATACAGTTACAGGAACCGTTTTAACGCCTGTTCGACCGGTTCTGGCATTAGCGTCAGCAGTGCGTCTGCCTCAGTGACTGACTTCCGCCCCCACTGCGAGTCGCAGGTCCCTCCTCTGCTCGCCCGGTGAGTGGGACTGGACTCCAGACGCGGGGCACCGTCCTTGTCGAGTGCCTCCCCCTCACGCTTTGTCCTGGCTGAGGTGGGGTTCCTGGACACACTTGGTCCCTTCCATGCGTTTCCTCTGCAGGCTGACGGGGGCTGCCTTTCTGCTGAGGCGGTGATCTTCCGGCCTGGTCCCTGGCCCCCACGGCTCCTGGGCTGGCAGGACACGCCCAGCCCTCTGTTACCTCCCAGAGCATCTCTCCTGGTGCCTCCCAGGGGTTCTACGTAGCCCCGGGCAGCTTCCTCCACGCACATCCCTATCAGGGCTCGGCCTGGACTCGGCACCCTCTGCCCAGCTCTGGAGCGCCCCTCCGGACAGGCCCTCCCCTCTGGCCCCCTGCCCTGCAGCCTCCAGCACTTTGGCCTCTGGTCGTTGGCTCGCTCCATTTGTCCCTCTCTGTCGGGAGTCACGGCCTGCACTGCCTGATGTGGTCCAGCGTTTAGCTGCTTCTGGTGGGAGGGTGAGCTCAGACCCTCCACACACGTGCTGACCTCAGGCAGCGGAGGCCGGAGGCCGTAGCCACCTGCTTGTCATGGAGCTTTGGGGTCAGTGTTGGCCACCTGTCTTGCTGCGCTGCTGCGTCCCCCTCTGTGCTTTATGAGGGGTCCGGGGAGACGTAAGTCCTGCTCCTGGCGCCACCTTCATGGAAGCCACATGGATTTCTAACACAGGCAGGTACGTGGAACGCATAGTAGTAACCCCGCATTCTGGGTAGGCGGTGGCAGAGGCTGAATACCCTTTTCTCCATCTTGCCCATCTTAGTGGTGTGCCCTGGACACCGTCCTGGAGGCGACCCCATGACGGCATGTACAGGCGTCTGGCGCTCCTTTTACAGCTGCAAGCCCCTGTGTGGAGGGTCAATGGTTTATTAAGGACTTGCACCTGATGCCATGTGGACCGTTCCAGTTTTTTCTATTACAAATTATGTTGCAATCAGTAGCCTTGTTCATGAATCTTTTGCATTTTTGCCAGTGTATCTTTGGGATAAATTCCTACTTGGTGATTGCTGGGCCAAAGGATAAATGCCCACATCATTTTGCTGGATATTGTCCATCTCCCCTCTGTTCCCACCAACAATACATGAGATGAGAGTCTCGCCAACAAGGTAGGTGTTCAAGCGCTGGGGTTTGTTGCCAGATTGGTCAAGAGAGGCCTCAGGAGATATCTGAGCACAGGCCTGAGTGTGGGAGGAGCCATGTGGGCAGCCAGGGAGTGCCACCCAGGCCTGGGAGCAGCTCAGCCGTGGCCGTGAGGTGTGAGGGCCCGGCATGTCCGGGAGGGCCGTGGACGCCAGGCCAGAGCGGGGGCAGGGCCCAGGCCCGAGGCAGGACCTCGGGACGTGGAGCAGCTGCTGGGCTGCTGCGCAGAGGCGTGCTGCACGCTGACCCAGGCGTTGAGGGGGTGGCCCACTGGCTGCCCTGTCCGCGAGAGACCGGGGGTCGGGGGCGGAGGCTGTGACACCAACCCAGACGGAACAGGTGGGCTCGGGCCACGGCTGCATTAGGCAGGTCTGAAGATAGAGCTGAGAGGGCTTCCCCATGAACTGGCTGTGGGAAAACAGAAAGAGAGGAATCAGGCATGAGTCCAAATGTCTGTGGCCCAGTAGCAGAAAAGATGGCGCGCCGTGGGCTGAGACGGGCAAGTTCACCATCTGCAGTTCACTGAGGGACACAGCGGTGCACAGACGCCAGTGAGAGCGCTGGCCAGGAGCGGCTGCAGGGAGAGGAGGGGAGGCCGGCTCGGGGGCAGAACACGGGGCAGTGGGCCAAGAGGAAAGTGTTTCCAGGAGAAGAGAGCAGCGCGGAGGGGCAGAGATGACGATGGATGCAGTCCACAAAACCTGGGGAGACCTGGACCAGAGCATTTTCCTGGGGGAAGGCAGAAGGCTGCAGGGTTAAGAGATGAAACAGGGAGGGAAATTGGGGCGGGCGAGTGTAGACAGCACTTCTGAGGAGTCGTGCTATATGCAAAGACGAGCAGAGCAGCTCTAGGTCAAGAGAGAGCCTGTTTGTTCTGTTCTGTTGTTCAGATGGGCAGCCTCACCGGAATGGCCCACCAGAGGGGAAGGGGACACAGGTCCATCGGAGAGGGGCAGGGAGGAGGCCCCCGGGGGTGGCTAGGAGGCAGAGGAGCGAGGACCGCTCGCCCTCTGGGGAAAGGGGAGGCGTGGGCGTGGTGGGGTGGGGTCACCTCTCACTGCTTCTGTCCTGGTTTCTGGCTCCTTCTTTTTGTTCCGCCCTATGGGGTATATCCACACAAGGTCACCTGTAGACTTCCGTGAGTTCTGACGCATATACACAGTCAGGAGCTTGTCACCACCATCAACACAACACACATTTCCATCATCCCAGGTGTCCTTGGGCCCCCGTCACCTCCACTCTTACGCTTTTGCTCTGAGCGAGGCCCCTGGACGGTTTCGGGCAGAGGAGGGACATTCCTTGGCTAATGTGTTATGAGGGTTACTCTTTCACGTTAAGAATAGATTTGGGGCCCAAGGACAGAAGCAGAAGGCCAGTGCTGAGCTGATTCTCCAGCTGGGGGAGGTGCTTGGCCTTGGGCCGGGGGGGTGGGGGTGGGGGTGCCGTGGCAGATTCTGAGGGGTCTACTGACAGCCCACGTCAGTAGAGCTTGGAGGCAAGGACCCCAGTGCCTCAGCTCAGCAGGCAGGAAGGAGCCCTGCCACGGGGCTGTGGGAAGGCCAGGGGTTGACCTTCTGACATCAGAGCCTGAGTTCCCTAAAGATATCCCAGCAGAGATGTGGCCAGGCAGCTGGACACAGGAGCCCAGAGTTCAGGGTCAAGGTCTGGGGTGTTGTCACCGATGAGGTCACCTAGGGAAACAGGCGGGCAGCGCAGATGTCTGGTGTGCATCCCCAGCAAGAGGCCCTAGGCCTGGAACGAATCTGGAACCGTTGCCACGCCTCACACACTTGCTCCTGGCTCTGCCCCATCTGCAGACAGGTGGCCACGGTGTCACAGGGTTGTCAGGTGACTTCCTGGGGCCACTTTGCCCTCAGCCTAGGGCTGCTCCCACTCTGCTGTCCCCTGGGCCTCCACTTCCGACCTGGGTCACCTGAGCTCCCATTGTACTGGAAAACAGAAGCAGCTAGAAGAGACCATGCATCAGGGTCTTCCCCTCCCCCCCAACGTGAAGGGCTACCAACTGCCCCCTGCATCCAGTCCCCAGTCCTAGGTGGGGACCTCGGCTCATGCAGCGTGGTCATTCTCCCCCTGTACCCAGTCAGCACCACTGAGGTCACCAGGGCTCCAGCCCAAATAGCAAACTGTCTTCTCCTCCTGGCCTCCGAGCCCCATTTGTGGCTTCCATCTACAACCTTGAAAAGTTGTCTTATATTTGCCCTCCTCCTTTGAGCAATCTGTTTTCACCCCAACAATGCATCCACACTGCAGTGGCCATGGCCCCGGAGGGGCCTCGCTACCCTCATCCCTCCAGCAGCCAAATGTACATCACTCACCCCTGGGGTCCTCTTCCCCAGTCTGCTCCATCTGGGTCTTTCTCACCGGCTCCTCCTGGACTCCTGGGTTTCTCCACTGGGAGGGCTGCAGGGGGCTTGGTCCCCCATCCCTCACTCACTCCCTTGACCATCTCATCATCTCCAGACACTGCAAGCTCACACTGCACTCCTGCAGCCCCCAGCCTCACAGCAGTCCCAGCTGGGGGTCTAGCGACATCACCTCCCCAGGTGGTCAGCAGCTGCCCACCCCTGCCTCCTCTCAGCAGTCCCACCCTTCCCGCCCTCCAGGGCACCACCAGGTGTAGCGCCCTGGCACCCCTGCGCTGCCTCCTGCTCCAGCCTCGCCCCCGCAGACACAAGGCAGCGGGACGCCAGTCCCGTGCCCACAGCCCTCTGCTCAGACAGCCCAGGCACCTCGCATCTGACCTCATCTCCAGCCTCTCTGTGCCCTCTAGCTTTGGGGCTGGTCTCTGGAAAGCATCCTCCACAACCCCCTCCTACTTCGGGGCCTGAGGCTGCCTGGACTTCCTGCCTGTGAACCGGCCCTATCCCCAGACACTTGAAGGGCTCGCTCCCTGCGTCCCTTCCGTGCCCATTCACTCTATGTAACCAACTCCGGACACCCATTGCCTCCCCCACCCGGCTTGTTTCCCACAGGACACCGCATTTACGTTCTCCTCTGTTATTCCCGCCCCCCCTCGCAGTGCGGACCCCACGAGGGCGTGGACATCACGGTCACTGCTTGCAGCTCCAGGGCGGGGCCTGCGGAAAGCCGGAAACAGGGACGAGTTGTGGGGTCAGCCTTGTTGTCTACTGTCCGGGAGCCCGGGAGGCAGGTTCCCTGTCTGAGGCGCCCCCGCTCTTGCCTGGTGCTAGTTCCCAGGAAGAACAGGAATGCAAGAGCAAGACCGCCTCCCTCGGAGGAAACCCCTGGTCCCGGAGCGCCAGCTGCCTGCAGGTTCCAGGGTTCCGCAAGCCGCTCCCCCTCCTGGCGCAGCGCCAGCCGACCACGCCCCGTCCCCGCCTCGGCCCCGCCCCCAGGCCAGGGATCACCCTACGCCTCCTCGAGGCCCCGCCCCACCTCCGGCCCCGCCTCCCCGACCCCTCACGGGTCTCCGCGCAGAGCCCGGCCCCGGGGCTCTCTAGGTCCCTCTCCCTCTGACCCCGCCCCCTTTCCCCACCCACACCTTCTGACCGCGCCCCCTTCTAGGTCCCGCCGCTGGCCCCCTCGCCTCTCCAGGTCCCAGGGCCCAGCCCAGCCCGGACGCGCCTGCGCCCTCTGACCACGCCCTGGCCCCCGCCCCGGGACCCACCGACTCCAGGCCCCGCCCCTGCCCCGGCTGCCGGGTGGGAGCCGGTCCGCGCAACGCGCATGCTCCAAGAGCGGCGCCCCCGACTCTGCGCTCGGCTCTGCTCGGGCATTTCCGCCTCTTTGTTTTAAACTCCGGACGGATTTTTTTCTCCTGCTCTTGGGGGGGACCCGGAGGGAGCGGCGCCCCCTCCCTCTCCCGGCGCGGCCCCCGCGTGCGCCCCGCTCGCCCGCAGCTGAGACGGCAGGTCAGTGAGTCCGCGCCCCGCCCGGCCTGGCCCGCGGCGCTCGCTACACAGGCCGCGGCCTCGGTCCGTGTCCGGGCCCGGAAGGCTCCGAACCCCGGCCCGCGCCCCTGCGCCCTCGTCGGCCCGGCCTGCGGATCCCCGACTCCGTTCGGCGGGCGGGACCCCGGGCAGGGCCCGACCCCGGGACCGGTCTTCGGGGAGGGCCCAGGGAGGACTGGACCCCAGGACGGGTCACCGGGGAGGGACCAGAGAGGACCCGACCCCAGGACGGGGAGGGACCAGGGAGGACCGGACCTCAGGACGGGTCACCGCGGAGGGGCCAGGGAGGACCGGACCCCAGGACGGGCCACCGCGGAGTGACCAGGGAGGACCGGACCCCAGGAATGGCCACCGCGGAGGGACCATGGAGGACCAGACCCCAGGACGGGTCACCGGGGAGGGCTGGACCCCGGGACCCAACAAGAAAAGGACTAGGAAGCACTCACTGTACCCTGAGACAGATCACCTAGGAGAGCCCAACCCTGATACGGGTCATGGAGGAGGGTCCAGCCTCACTATGGGTCACGGAGGAGGGCTGGAACCTTAAGACTCAGCAGGAATCAGAGAGAGCTGGACCCGAGACAGGTCACCGAGCAGGGCCAGGACCCAGGAACAGCTGGGACGCTGGGACAAGTCACTGAGGAGGCCTGGACGTTAGGATGGGTCACCTGGGGAGGTCTGGACCCCTGGACTGGCCCCCAGTAGGACCAGAATTCTGGAACCATCCTGTGAGCACCTCTGAGACCCTGGGACAGCCCCTCTTTCCCAGGAGGCCATGACCCTGGGACTGTGCCATGTGGAGGGCTCTTGCCTTGTGACAGGCTCCAGGGATGACCCAGGTAGGTCATGTAGGAGAGTCGGATGTTGGGGCAGCCGTGAAGAAGGCTGGCGCTCAGAGAGGGCCACAACCGTGATAAGAGCTGGAACTTGGAGTCAGGTCCCCAGGGAGGCCAAGGTTCTTGAATGAGTCCCTGAGAAGCACTCAGACCCCAAGGGTGGTATGTAAGGGGCGCCGGGACCTCAGGCTGGACCCCCAGGGGATTGGGCCCTGGGGCAGGTTCCAGAGGTGCCCAGAATCTACCCAGCCCACTCAGCTGGACCTGGCTTCTATAAAGGCTCTGGAGCATCAGGGATCCTGGTCACCTGAGCCCCACAGGTGCAAACCAGCCCTCTCCGTGAGGCCCCTGAGCACCTGGGCCCACAAACCTTCCGACCTACAGCAGATGCTGCCTGGGCTGGGCCCTGGGGGTGGGCAGGGTTGCGGCCCATCCTCCCAGCTCTGGGGACTCGAGCGGGCGTGGGGGTGGGGGCTCCTAGTCCCCACTGGCTCCGTGCCCCAGGCCAGTGCTTTGCCCCTCCCCAGACCCAGAAAGCTGTCCCCTACCCTGTTCTCCCAGTCCCTGCTCCAGGGCTGCCATCCTTTCCTTACCTGGGCCCTGTGGTCAGTGTCAGGCACCTTCAACCACTCCTGTCCTCCCCTCCCTCCAGTGGTGTCACCAAAAGAGCCCCATTCTCAAGGTCTGGAGGTGTTTTCTGTGTCCAGGAATTTCCAGGAGGGGTGGGGTCCAAGCTGGGAGTCTGGGCTGCGGGAAGGGTTTGGAGCCAGACGGCCCAGTGCGTGTCAGGTGAGCCATCAGGCACCTCCTCCACTCCAGGAAAGGACCTTGGGATGGGAGCTTTGCTTCTCTGAAACCTTCGAAGCAGACTTCATTTAGATCTTGCCCGTGTTGTCCTTTAATTTGGAAGTGGGGATGGAGAAGTGCTGCCCTTCGGCTGGGGAAGGGCTCCAGAGTGTGTCCAGTAGGATAATGTTGGAGGAGCTTGAGAGGATGGAAAGCCCAGGCAGGCACTGGCTCCCTGGCATGGGGTGGGCGTGCAGCACATTCATTGCGTGGACGAAAGGCGGGAGTGCTTTCAGAAAGGTCGACCTGTGTTAGGGTGAGGCACGAGTCTAAAATTCCCAAGGGAGATGCTTGAAGTGGTCAGTTCAGTATTTCATTTTGTGCCATAACTTCACTTCTTGATTACTTAGGAGAAAACCCCTTTGCATTTTCAGTGTAACATTTCACTGTAACTAAGCTTAAGTGCATGGAACCCCTGAATAGTCCAGCCTATTTTGATTTGTCAAATGTAACCACACTTGCGACCTTGTTACTCAGTTCTTGCTTTTTCTGTGTGTGTGTGTGTGTTTTTTTGTTTGTTTTTTAAATTTATTTGGCTGCGTCGGGTCTTAGTTGCGGCACGCGGGATCTTTCGTTGCGGTACGCGGGATCTTTCGTTGCGGTACGCGGGATCTTTCGTTGCGGTGTGCGGGCTTCTGCCTAGTTGTGGCCCGCGGGCTCTTGGGCTCGCGTGGGCTTAGTTGCCCCGTGGCATGTGGGATCTTAGTTCCCCAACAGGGATCGAACCAGCGTCCCCTGCATTGGAAGGCAGATTCTTAACTACTGGACCACCAGGGAAGTCCCTGTGGGTTTTTTTTTTAACATGTACTTTGCTTTTTAAAAAACTTAATTTGCTTTGTGAAGCTTTGGAAAAGACTTGTAAAACTGGGCATTCAGGTTTGGTTAGGCTCTTTATTTTCCCATTTTTGGATTTCTGAAGGTGTGATAGTGCTGGATGGTTGTATTATTTATATATTACTGTCCCGCAAATTACCCCAAAATGTAGTGCCTTAAAACGATACCAGTTATTATGTCACAGTGTCTGTGGGTCAGGAGTCCAGGCACAGCTTAGCTGGGCCCAGGGTCTCACAAGGCTCCTTGGGCCCAGGGTCTCACAAGGCTGCCGTCAGGGTGCCCACCGGCGCTGTGGTCTTGTCTGGAGGTTCATCTGGGGAGGATTTGCTTCCAGGCTGCTGGCTGGAGACATCTGTGGGGCAGCTCGAGGGCCAGCGACAGGACAAGGGAGCAAGCAGGAGGCCACAGTCTTCATGACCTAATCTTGGCAGTGATATCCCATGCCTTTTGCCATATCCTTTGTTAGAACCTAGTCATCAGGCCCAGCCCACGCTTAAGGAGGAGGAACTCCACAAGGGTGTGCTTCCTGGGCGGGGTGGGCCTGGGCCATCCTAATGCCTGGCATTGATCAGGTGGTGTTAGCTCCTGAAGGGCCTGTGCCTGAGAAGTGCCCTGCAGGTGAATGAACAGAATTGTGTAGAGCTGTGTGCTCAGCCCAAGGTTGCAGCAGCTCAGCTGTCTCTTTAGTTACACAGGTTGCTCTGATGTCACCATTGTGATGATGGGATGACGCCGGAGCTTACGCATGACAGGAGAGAAATTACAAATAAGAAAGCTTTTTAGGAATTAACTTAGAACAGCTGTAGCAAGCCATAAGCTCTCCTGCTTCCCACATACAATTAAATTGTAGGTGTGTATGTGTCGGTGATATAGAGTTCTTGGAAGCTTCAAGTACAGCGATTTTAGTTGTTTCTAGAGCTTCATTTTATTCCTGCTAATTATTTTCCTCCAGAAATGATCAACTGACATTTGTAAGACGTTTTTAAGATGTGAGATCCCAAAATGTTTTTATTTGACCTTTGTAGGGAAGGATGCTCCAGGAACCTGTGTGCAAGGGCCTCTTGTGCTCAGCCCTGCGGCTTCTCCTCCCCGGTGCTTGGACTTTGTGGCGCTTGGGCTGGCGCTGCAGCACGGGGCTGTGAAGGGCACCCGTGCAGGGCCCGCATGGGAGGCTCCCTCGAGAACTTGTCACCACATGGAGGGAGGTGTCCCCTCTGCCACCCTGCTCTGTGGACCTGCCAGGTTTCCACCCTGCTGGGGTGAGGCAGGGCCCTTTGCCAGTGATTGGAATTATTTATTTGGGTTGTTTGCTTTGGATTATAAAGCGAGGTTTGTTTTGGTCTGTACTGTTACTCTTTAATCTACTAAGTGGCAGGATTTGTTACTTCATTGGAGCTTTATTTGGTTAATGGTCAGAATCGAATTTGAAAATGTAATCTTCTTCTCTATTGAAATATGTTGAGGTTTGGGGACAGTTTCTTACTACCTTTCTGATATTTGCTGTCACTATTGCAAAAATGCTGCACAGTTCATTGTGTGTCAAAAAATGGAACTGTTCTTCAGCTCCACAAGTTGATAGTTTTTCATTGAATTTTAAAAAGTGACGTTTTTAAAAATAACTAGAGGGACTTCCCTGGTGGCGCAGTGGTTAAGAATCTGCCTGCCAATGCAGGGGATACGGGTTCGAGCCCTGGCCCGGAAAGATCCCACATGCTGTGGAGCAGCTAAGCCTGTGTGCCACAACTACTGAGACTGTGCTCTAGAGCCCGCGAGCCACAACTACTGAGCCCGCAGGCCACAACTACTGAAGCCCGCGTGCCTAGAGCCCGTGCTCTGCAACAAGAGAAGCCACCGCAACGAGAAGCCCACGCACATCAATGAAGAGTAACCCCTGCTCGCCGCAACTAGAGAAAGCCTGCGTGCAGCAACAGAGACCCAACACAGCCAAAAATAAATAAATACATTTATTTATTTATTTAAAAAATAAAAATAGACTGTCTTTTCTAATCTGCATGTTTCTCCCTACAGCACTGAATTATATGAAGGCCCAGACGACAATAATGAAACACTTAACATGTGATGAGAGGGTTAAGGCGGGAGCATTGCTTCAGAATTGTCCATTAAATTAAGCAAAACCCTTCATTGAGAAGAACTAAAACTCACTAGAAAATATTGTCCTTAAAAACCAATTGTTAGGTTGACTGGGTTTTTTTTTTTGAAGAAAACCTCTAATGCTTAGATGAATTTAGAGAGTTGAGGTTAACTGGAATTTTTTGGGGGGGGCAAATGCATCAATATTTGCTGGACTTTGCAACACTAACGGCAAATTCCAGTTGTTTAACACAAAGTAAGCAAACAGTAGAAAGCTGTCCACAGACCTCTTGACCTGTGTGGGTCGTGTCAGCTGCTATATTTGCTGATTCTTAGCAGGGCCTGGCCTGTAAT